AAAAAGGACGGGGGGGGGGGGTTGTTCATTTTTCCTTCATCATTGCCTGGGCGACCCTCGCTGTGTGTCTGGGAAGTTCAGCATAGAAAATAGTAAATCCCTCTGCACTCCTCACAGTGTTCCCGGCCCAAGTACTTGTAGTGGTGCTCGCAGTGACGATCACGGATGGCACCGTGCAACAAACAGTAGAAAGCAAAAGTCGCCAGCACTCTGTAAATATCTTTGATGTCCATTTATTCGGGCCAATTGTCATGTACAGAATAGCGACGTTTCGGGACCGCACAGGATCCCTTCTTCAAACCTATTTTCATTAGATACTTTATGTTATGTCACCTCTGTGCAATGCAGGAAGATCATGGCTGGTGGGAGGGGACGGAAGGGGGCTGTACATAGCTTCCTGAGAACATCGCAGAACCCTGCCTCAGTACTACTCTTTAAGAGCCCCCAGCCCTGATGCAAGGGAAACTTGGGAGGAGTTGTGCAAATATCAAAATGCCTTGATGGGTGGGTGTCTGCCTGGAGGAATTCCCAGGCAGGCTGTAGTCACATTCAGACCATCCTAGGTAATTCCCACATGTGATGCTACACATCCATGTTTAAACACTGAAATCCAATAAATGAAAGGGGCGGGGCCAGTCCTTAAGGAAAGAAGATGCTGGATGTCCTCCAGCCAGGAAATGAGGTGGGTTCTATCTGACTTGCTGCAGCTTCTAATGCACATTATGAGAAGCTCGCAGTGTGCCGTGATATCAGAGGAAGAGGAGAGGAGCCGGTACCACTGTGCAAGACTGAAGGGAAGGCCAGAGGTCAGATTTAAAGTGTATGAATAGCCAAATCCAAGGTCTAAGCCAACCCACTCCTATCAAAACTGCAAAAAGTTTATGAAAGTGTACATAAACGCAAACTTCTTTGTGCATACATGTACGGTGATAGTATAATTGCTGCACGTTTGTGTTTTTAGGTATTGCTGGGTTTGCTGCAGTTGTAGCCTTTGGACTGTATAAGCTAAGAAACAGAGGAGACACCAAAATGTCCGTGCACCTTATACACATGCGTGTAGGAGCTCAGGGGTTCGTTGTCGGCGCAATGACGTGTGGTGAGTAACAGATTTATTATACTTTTATCTTGGTAGATTACTAGCTCTGTGGTTCTGTGTTTAGTACAAGATTGTTCAGGGGTGCCCATTGGGTCGATCACGATCTACCAGTTGTTCTCAAAGGTAAATCGACTCGCTGTCCCGAGCTCCCTTCCACAGCCCTAGTGCAGCCGAGTGTGTCATGCTGCAGATGGGTACGTTTGGCCTCACTAGCCCCGTGGGAGAAAAGGATAGAGTGCGTGAGGGGGGAGAGCCGGGGAAGGTGCTGCAGGGCGCGATCTGGGGACTTTCTATTTTAAATCTCAAATTTGCAAAGAAAATTTGCCGCTCTCCTGCAATAGTCCTAAAGGGTGAGGTGGAGGACTCTACAGAGGGGGTGGGATGACGCTTCTTAATGGCAATGGTATCTCCAACTAGTTCCAACAGGTTTGTCCCTAAATTAGTGTCCCCAAATTGTTGGCCATATAATAGATGTGTGAACACGGTCATGGTAGGGCCCCCTGGATTCTAAGTTCCTCTGAGACCAGGAAAGATGTAAATCTATTTGGAATCTAAATTGCTGTAACATTTTGTGTTTTAGTATAACTCTTGAGCAGAATGATTTTCTTATGTTGTCACTCCTCTCCCGTCTTTGCAGGTGTTCTGTACTCCATGTACAAGGAGTATCTGGCCAAGCCCCAGGAGTAAAGGACAACCACCAGCTATTCCCTTGGCACAGAGTGACGATATGGACCTCACATTGGGGTGGCATTTTTATTTAATTGCATAAGGCCCCTTTCTGCGGGGAGATCCTGCAACACGTTACAGACAAATCCAGCAGCTTAGGGGGTTGAATGTTTTCGCTTCTTATTCAAAAAAAAAAGACACTGAAATCCACTTCTGGAAATGAGCGTGTTTAAAGTCTATTTTATATTTTTATTTTACAATGTAAAACCAGGAGAGGGGCAGTTTAACGTTCTGGGTGCTGTTGTTATTGGGGGTTTTTAATTTCTCCACATCGGACGACAACCCACGAGAGATGCTTTTAGTTTAAATTCGTCCTTTTTTGTTTGTTTTTCTTCCATATAATATAAACTTAAATTGGCGGTCTGGAGTTTTTTTCTTCTAAATCCGCTGCCACCTCAGCAGGCACAATGTGATCTCCGCCTAACCATGTGGAATCCTCGGAATATGGGAAAACGATTACAGACATCTGCTCTGTAGGATGTTTTTGATTTTGTTTTGTTACATTCCACTTCTTGTTTTTCCTGTTTTTCTTTGTTGGCAATAAATCGGACATCTCAATCTCACCCACTGTTGTGCCTCTGTTCTAATGACGGCCATTGGTCATTGTACACCAGGAAGTAGAATCGAGAGTTGGGTTATACCGTCTCTCCTGGAAAATTGGCAAAAAGCCTTCTTTTTGCACACGAGTCCACCAGCAGTGCACATGAGTCCTCCATGTTCTGCTACACACAGGACATAAAGTACAGGATCCTCTCCAGGTGGTGTAGGGATCCAGTCTCGCTACACTGTATGTTCCTCACAATCGCTAAAGAGATGCCTATCTCCAAATTAGGTGGGATTGCCATCTTAAGGTCCCCACACACCTTACGATAATCGCGGGAAATCCCGCGATCGTACGATTATCGTAAGGTGTGTGGAAGCCGTGCGACCTCTACTACTGTAAGGTTGCACGACTTTTAACTTACGGACATGTTCGAAAACCCGCCCAGCATCGTACGATGTTCGGCGGGTGTGTAGCATGTTCGTACGATAGAAGCCGTACGGGCCAGTGTGCGCAAGCGCACACTGCCCGTTCGGCATTGCGGTCATCGGAAGCCCGCCCCTAAGGGGGCGTGGCTTGTGATCATCGCAAGATAGTCAGATCGTACGTTTTTTTAAGTACCTTACAACCATCGCAAGACAAAAGTCTTGCGATGGTTGTAAGGTGTGTGCCCAGCCTTACCTACACATCCTGGGCTGAGCAGCATATACAATGAAATGTATGACCAATTCAGTCCTGCTCAAGAAATCTCCTTCCTGTCCATCATTCTGGATTCCATAGCTTCCATGCAAAAATGTTATTCCATCATTTTCATTACTACAGCATGTCAATATGTTATTACAATGCAGGATATATATCGCCTACAGTTTCTCAATGCTTTACAAAGTAAAGGAGGACAGTACACTTAAAACACAATTCAACGCAAGAGGGTTAGCTGGGCCCTGCTCGTGAGAGCTTACAATCTAAAAGAGGTAGAAAAGGCAGTGGTGTCACAAGGTGGGTGCGGCCCGCACTCGGATGACACAAAAATGACTGATGGATGACAGTCAAAATGAGCAGTAACCGAGTGTCACCCCGCCGAACATCACCACGTCATCGCGCACGCGCGGCAGTATTCTGATGCCGGCTGCCATCTTGGTGATGGACGCCGGCAGAGAGAGGAGGGGACAATCACCCAGCAGGATAAGGTATGCCGCCGTGTCCCCTCCTCTCTCCTGATACTGTCGGGCGTTCGGTCCATGACGGAGTGCCCGACTTTTC